TAGTCATAAGTTTAGTTTTCTCAAAGTTTATCTTTAATCCTGCTCTTTCAGGCAGCCTTTTAAGCGAATGTATCCTGTAAGTTATCTGCGAGTAATACACCATTTATTAAGATTATTAAGATTATTTACTTAGGTGATTTAATCTTTTTTCATCTATATGAAATTGAGTGTTTTTAAATATTGACTCTAGAGATGCTGGTAACAATCTTGGTGAAATATTGTCTCCTTGTCTAACTCGTCGACTTAGCTGAATTTTTCAGTCTTCGTGTAGTCGTATACTTGATATAGACTCTACAGAATCAAAAACCTTTTCGTAATCGAAAAATGCAAGAACCAGTGGTATGTGGTACTCGATGCACTTTTCTATTAAGATCTTTATGGTATGCAAATGGTCATTTGTGCCATATCCTGCCCTAAACCCTGCCTGTTCTTTGGGCTGATAGAAATCAAGTTTAGGTGTTAGTCTCCTTGTTATTTTTTTCATAATGAGCCTGTACATATGTATCAAGAGGCTGATGGGTCTATAATTTTTTGTCTAACAAGACTATCACTGCATTGTTCCAGTCTTTTGGAATCGTACCCGCATGTAAGCATTTATTAAACAGTTCGTTTACTGATTTTAATAGAATTTCTCCTCCTGCTTTTATTGTCTCAATAACGAGTCCATCATCACCAGGCGATCGATGGTTCTTCATTTCCTTTAAAGCTACTCTTAGACTCAGCTTAGACTTAGCTAGACTCATTAGCAACAAATATCATATCCTGTTCTATGCGGATGAATTGCTTATTCTAGCACATCGAAAATTTTAAGTTGCAATCACAGATGCAATGCAACAGCACTGTAGTCATATAATACATAAAAAAATGCAGTGCTAAATATATATTCTCCAGAAAAGAAAAATCACAAAATTTGCCAAAAGGGGCTTAGTTGTGGTAGATCGGAACAGGACCTATTTATGAGCCCTTCAGATACCTAGACCTCCTAAAACGGGTCAATTGTATTACGCCTATCATACGGAATATGCCCATAAGAACCTCTTCTTCGACCTTTTAGGGGTCCAGGCTGTTCCAGGCACACATCTCTACAGTAATTAGTAGGAGCTCCAAGTTTAAGCCCTTCCGGCCATTCTGAACGTCTAATCCTTTAGTAGCCTTGTGGCCTCACAGAAAGCCACAAGTCTCTTTAAGGATAACTCCCTTATTTGGCTTGGTTTTATGAAGATCGGACCCACGATCTGCGACCTCTGGTACTTCCAGAGGACATGTGAGGAGGTTTCCTCCTTCTTATTACAAAGAGAGCACCTTTTACGATCTAGAAGGAACCAAAAGGAGAAATTTAAAGGGGTAAGGTAGTCCAAACCAAATTTTAATCTGGTGACTGAGATAATACTTGACTAGTGAAATAAGTGAATGTTATTCAGACGCACTGTTGGAAAAATATGGGATTTAATATCAGACATGTTATATTGTATTTGTAACGTGGTAGCTAAGCCAGGAATAGCAAATGCATTAGTATGATGGCCATAAATGCAGCAAACATTGCAATCGTTAAATTAAGTAAGTCAAACAATATCTTGATTTGAAATTACAGGAGCTACAGGTGAGAGATATACGAATAGCACCTGTGGAGCTACTACTGGACCTTACTCTCTTGCAAATAGATGAAATGGGAGGTTGAGAATATGATAAGTATTGTTTTCTAATAAACCTAAATAACGTCATAGTTAGATCAGTGCGTAATAATATAATAAGCGAACTTAGGGATACAGTAGGGATTATGACTTCTGGCATCCAAAAAAAGAACAGAGGCAACACATAACCCAGACTGTAGAATTACACCTGATATACAAAGGGGTTACTATCTGGTATTAAATTTGTTAGGTAACCTGCCCAATGAGAGCAAAAAAAAATATGCGGTGGCTTCAATATTAATTAGGCTGCTGCTTATGCTACTCAACTGTCCTTGGTCAATATATTTGAATCGTATGGTCTTACAAGGCAATTGATTATATTGTCTTAAATTCCTCGCCCTTGATGTTAGCCCTACAATTATTAATGCGGGACTATCTGATTATGAAGCAGTATATATCAAGTTTAACACTCTCAACAAACCTCAAAAACCCGAAGTTTAGGTAGGATTTTTTCCAATGAGAACTTTCGTAAATTCCAAAATTTATGTTTGACAGCTGGGTGGTTCTTTTCTTCAGTAGACGTGGACTATAATTTCATCAGATAAGCTTGTTTGTATTTTTACCAAGACATTTCCTTTATTGCCAATTAAGCCAAAACATCACAAACCCTGAACTACGAAAGGTATCCGCGTATTAGCCAAAAATATGCGTTCACTACCGTACATCAAGAAATTTACAACCAACGTCTCTGTCACTGAATATATCACCAAGTACAGAGTAGCGTATCTAAAACTTATCAAAACAGCTAAAAAAGCGTACTATTAAAATTTTCTGGAAAGCCCTAAAAGTGTTACAAAAGAAACTTGGTCTATGAGAAACGATCTTTGAAATAAAACTAACACAGCTTATACATTTTCTCCTTCCAAACCCTAAAAATCTTGATAAAATGCGTTAGGCTTTCACGGCCATCGTCTAACTTGTTAAACTGTTTGTTCGGGCTGTTAGGCCGTTGTCTTCTGCGATTAGTTTTCGACGTTTCGCCAACACTAGGGGTTGGCATCTTTTGGAGATGTTACTGCTTCGCTTGTAAGCTAAAACTGAAACTAACAGCCCAAACAAACAGTTTAACAAAGAAAAATCTTATTTGTTAAGTGAGTAAATCCCATTTTCTATCTCCCCAGTTTAAAAAAAGTCTCGAATTCATTCTTTATAAGATCAGTTGATCCAATCTGAACTGATCCAAACAATCAATATTATCAAAAGCAAACCTTTTTGTAGTACTGATGGGATATTCATAAAAATTTTCTTAAATCTCTCAAAAAATGTGTTGAAAGTCCTGGTCTCACTAACTAAAATTCCTTTAAAAAGGTAAATTTCTCCTTTTCATAAAGATGGTGAAAAATCTAATGCCTGCAACTATGGATCTATTATCTTACTACCGGTACTATCCAAAATTATTCACAGACTTATAAAAGTCCAACTTATGTCCTTTTTCGTTGAAAACAACATTTGATCTCAAAATCAGTTTGGCTTTTTATCTAATGAATGTACCAGTCATATTTGGGAAATAAAAAACAACTGGTTGAAGCAAATAATACTGACTCTAGTCATAGTATTGTATGTGGAGTACCACAAGGTTTAGTATTGGGTCCTTTACTTTTTCTTTTATTTATAAATAATATAACTAATTTAAAAACCGATGGAAAATTTTTTCTTTTGACTGACGATATCAGTATCACCTGCAGCAACTCGAATATTGCAACTCTCCATGTAACTGTAACTTCTGATCCACTTACAATAAAAACCTAGTCTGAGATGCAATAAGATCTGTTTCAAAGAAAATCAATTTAGCATCTTTCCAACTACGATATTTTTCTTTGTTCGAGTCTCATCTTCGATATGGTCTTCCTTTTTGGGGTCTTGGGTACAGCTGCCTAATCTGGTGTTATTTTTAAATTACAAAAAAGAGCAATATGGTATCTGTTCGGCCTCAGAAGTACAACACATTGCAGAAGCTACTTCAAAAATTACGTGATTTTAACGCTTCCCTCTTTATATATTTTAAAAACTGCTTAATTCACCTAAATGTTTTTCCAGCAAGACATAATCATGACTACTCTACCAGAAATTCAACCTTTGGTGTTTGAAATGTAAACTATACAACCTTCTCCCTTTACAACTAAAGTATTTTTATCTATATTTGGATACCATACGAAGCAACTTCAATTTATTAGTTTATAAGGTTTTATTATGCAATTTGCAATTTATTTAAATTTTTTAATGGGTTGTTTATTTTATCTACTATTTTGTAATATTGATGATTTATGTAACTTAGGTAAATTTTAATTGCTATTCTTTTTTTTTACCTTTTTGTAAGCTTTGTCCATAAAATTATACAATTTTCAGTAACAATAAAGCATTCTTCTATCTATTTCACTATGAAAATATACATCTTCAAGCATACATTTATGCAATATAATTTCATTGTGCAAGAGAAAGTGACATAAAAAAGAAAAATACCAAGTACGGTAAATGATCTGAGTTACACGTAACATTGTAGGAGCTATTGATGAAGAGTTGATCACTTATGATGACAGGGTTATGATCTAGAAGGAGCTTCTTTTTCTTCTTAAAGTGCCCTATCCTCAAGGGAAGTTGGCTATTACAATTGAAAACTCTTTTCTGCCTTTAGCTGTTCTTATAAGCTGTATAAAATTTAGCCTTGTCCATTTTTTGATGTTTTTTGGTCACGATATTCTTTTCCTTTCTAGTCTCCTCTTTTCATCCGTCTTTTCTTTTAACATTAGTTATTAGAGCATAATGCTCCTTAATATTTCTCAGTATGTGGCCTAGCTATGGAAGGAAAGAGATGGATTGGTCGAAAGAAACTTTCATGGCTGCGTAATATTAGACAATGGTGTGGTTCCACAGTAGAAGAATTATTTCGCGCAGCAGCCGACAGAGAAAGGTTTCAGGAAAATGTAAACATGATGACGGCCAACGTCTGAATACGGACACGGCACCCAAAGAAGAAGAAGGCCTAGCTATGATATTTTTCTTACTTTGACTGTGTTGAAAAGTGGGGGTGCTAGACTTTCAGCAAACGCTCCTTCAGGTGGCGATTAGGGATAGGCCTCCCAGATATAGGTAGTACCGGGCAAATGACATATTTTATCTGAGCTGCACCAAAAGTGACACGCAAAGTCTGACCTAGAGTGAGCGGCTGCAAATAGCGTTTGTGTCCAGAGGATCTGTTAAAATACAAACCAGACAAGGAAACGATAAACCACTCTGGTAAATATTTCCCGAGAAAACTACAATAAAAGCAATATAGAGAGCTTCATCATCATCATCTTGGTGCTACAGCCCTTAGAGGGCCTCGACCTTCTCAAGCTTTCTACGCCATTCTGTTCTGTCCCTTGCTTGAATTTTCCAGTTGCCGACTCCGATCTTCCCCGCATCTTGTGTTACCCCATCCATCCACCTCAGCTTTGGTCTACCCCGTCGTCTCATTCCCACAGTTTGCGCTGTTAGAATCTTTTTTATCATGTTCGATTCAGGGGCCCGGGCTACATGTCCTGCCCACTGCAGGCGGTTTCGCTTAATTATAGTGGTAATATCTTTACCACCAAACGTATGCTTGTAGATATTCTGCAGTTCGAAGTTATATCTACGCCTCCATATTCCGTTCTCACAGACCGCTCCAAATATCTTGCGTAGCACCTTTCTTTCAAAAATGGATATAGCGGATTCATCTGTTTTTGTTAGCGTCCATGCCTCTGATCCGTATGTGAGAACGGGGACTATCAGTGTTCTATACAGCCTTATGCGAGTTTTTTGAGACAGACGTTTGTTAGCTAGGTACTTTGATAGACCATAATAACACCTGTTTGCAATTATTATTCGCCTTTTTATTTCCTCAGATGTATTATTATTGGGGTTAACCGATGTCCCTAGATATACGAACTCATTGACTGCTTCGAAAGTTTGGTCATTGATGATTAAATTTGTGTCAACATTTCCAGCTCTTGTGTTTGTGTTAGTCGCCATGAATTTGGTTTTATTTTGATTTATATGTAACCCCATTCGTTCTGCTGCTGCTACTAGCTCGGTTAGGATTTCCGCAGTTCTCGCCCTAGTTCTTGTTATAATGTCCCCGTCGTCTGCATATGCTAGAATTTGGACGGATCTATTAAATATTGTTCCCCTGCTATCTAAATTAGCGTCTCGTACAACTTTTTCTAAGGCGACATTAAAAAGCTGACACGCCAGCGCATCTCCCTGCCTTAACCCCCTATGTATTTGAAATGGGGTTGACGAGTCGTTTTGAATTTTTACTGCTGATAGCATCTTCGCCATTGTCACTTTTATCAAACATATGAGTTTTTTTGGAATTCCTAACTCATTCATAGCATTGTAAAGACTTGGTCTTAAGACACTGTCATATGCCGCTTTAAAATCGACAAAAATATGATACATATCTATGTTAAACTCTTGCGCTTTTTCGAGGATCTGTCGTAGTGTAAAGATCTGGTTAATGGTTGAACGTCCAGGCCTGAATCCTGCCTGATATTCCCCTAGAAACATTTCAGTATAAGGCTTTAATCTCTCGTGCAAAATATTTGATAATATCTTATATGCTGTATTTAGGAGAGTTATTCCGCGGTAATTATTGCATTCCAGTTGGTTTCCCTTTTTGTGTAACGGGCAAATTAAGCCTAAGCTCCATTCTTCTGGCATTTGCTCCTCAGACCAAATTCTACAAACAATTTCTCGCATCACCTTGGTGAGCTGCTCTCCACCGTGCTTAAATAACTCTGCTGGGATGCCATCGCTACCTGGGGACCTATGGTTCCTTAGTTTTTCTATAGATATTTTTACTTCATCTATCGAGGGGGGTTCCACGAGTTCCTCATTTCGGTATTCCAGCTCTATATTGTTAGTAGGTTCCCCTTCCAGCAACTCTCGAAAGTGCTCTACCCATCGTAAAAGGATGCCCTCTTTGTTGGTAAGTAAGTTGCCTTCCTTATCATTACAATAGTTGATTCTTGGTTTGAATTCTTTTCTAATACTATTTATTTGATGGTAGAACTTTCTTGTTTCTCCGTGACTCATATGGCTTTCGAGCCGTTCTAACATGTCATTTTCCGAGTCTCGTTTCTTTTTTCGGTGTATGCGTTTTTCCTCTCTCCTTAAATTTTTGTATCTATCTATTGTTGTTCTAGTTTTTCGATGTTGCATGGTCCTAAATGCCTCGTTCTTCTCATCTGTTATTTTTTTGCAGTCTTGGTCGAACCAGTCGTTTCTTTCTTGGGTTCGGGATATTCCCAATGTGCTTTCGGCTGCTGATTTCAGAGCCTCCCTTGCAGTTGTTCCACATTTCCGTGCTTGACTGGTCGACTGCCCAGGTGTGTTCTAGGGTTTCTTTTATATGTGACTGGAACTGTTTCTCCTTGATTTCATTTTTTAGCATACGTTAATTATATGTTACTTGTCTAGTGCCTCTTTCTTTCTTGGCATTGGAAATTCTTTGTCGTAACTTGGCCCCTACCATAAAATGATCTGTCAATATTTGCTCCTCTGTAACTTCTTACGTCCATTAGGTTTGTAAAGTGCCTTCTGTCAATTATAACATGGTCGATTTGATTTGTGGTGTGTCCATTTGGTGATATCCAAGTAGCTTTATGGATATTCTTGTGATTAAAACATGTACTTCCCACAATTAAATCTTTGGAAGCTGCCAGACTAATAAGCCTTAAACCATTGTCATTAGTAACGTCGTGAAGGCTATGTTTACCAATATAATCTTGATAGCATATCTCTTTTCCTATCTGGGCGTTCATGTCTCCAATGATTATTTTAATATCGTTTTTGGCACAGTTATCATATGCTCTTTCGAGATCTTCGTAAAATAGATCTTTAATTTCTTCGTCTTTTTCCTCGGTTGGCGCGTGCACGTTGATCAGGCTTATGTTGAAAAATTTTCCTTTTATTCGAAGGATGCATAACCGATCATTTATGGCTTTAAAACCAATAATAAAATTTTTGATTCTCTTTGATACTAGGAACGCGGTTATGAACTCATGTCGGTTCGGGTTGCAGCTGTAATATATATCATGTTCTTTTTTCTGCAAAATGCCGGTTCCTGTCCATCTCATCTCTTGAATGGCTGCAATGTCTATTCTATACTATACTATATTCTATATTTTAGGAGTTGAAATATAGAGAGCTAATGAAAATTAAATACACACAAGTATTCTGTTGGGCACCATCAAGTGAAATAAATATATAAAGTTCTAGAAGAAGTTAAAGAGACTTAGTAAATAGATACATCGAACAAAGAGGCTTAGAGAAAAATCTTAGTATATTATACATAAAAGCAGTATAAACTTGTAAATTGACTGACCGTTAATTCAGAGCTGCTTCTGATCTCTACTAAGAACCTCGTTCTGGTTCCAACTTTGACTGATAAATCATTAAGTCTTCTTAAGAAAGCTGGAGGTTCATCGCCGTCTTCGTATACTCCTACTCTCAATTCGACATCTCTAGAAACAGAACCTAGAGGTGATCTCGCCGTGACCGTGTACAGACCGGCATCATCTCTGTGGACGTTGTCCAATGCCAGTTGGATGGTGTTGTTGTTAATCCTAAGTTGTCTTCTTCGTTCTGGTACGATAGGTGCTCCTCCATCCTTAGACCTAAACAAAAAGAGAAGATATTATAAGCGTTTTATATTGTAGATAAAAACGTTGAAAAATAGTTAAATGTATAGATATGGTTCTTTTCGTAGCATTCTTTTAGTTGTAAAATTTTGTGTTCAGACATGTCGGGAATATTGTATGTAACTTGACACAAATTTAACTATAGTGGAGCGCTCAAATTTCTAGGTTTTGATAGGTCTGCTCTAATATATAGTGCGGCGGCTGATTCTTCCGGTAAAAATTTGTCAAATTTAGGAAGAAGCTTGAAAATCTTACAATCGCCACGCCCACCTGATGCGCACTAAATTTATCGGAAATATACCAGTCGAAGTCAACACTTCAACTTGTAAAGGTCGGTCGGTACAGTCTGCGGCAGAGTTTTCTTAAAGAATAGTGTGTCTCAGTGCAATGGCTGGTCAAAGCCGGGAAATTATAGCAAATGTTATGCATTTTATGCAACAAGAAGCAAGGGACAACGTACCTCTAATAGACTTAAAACAAGTGCAAAACGTGTTGTAAGAGCAACAGGTGTAAGTTTATCTACCATACAAGCCATTTCGAAGGAAATTAAGGTACTGCATCAAGCTTTAGTACTCCAAATAAAAAAAGAAATAAGTCGGCTTTACGACGAATACATAGAAAGAGTATGCCACTGAGTACAACTACAATGGTTCGCGTGAATCATTGAGAAAAGCAATGAGTGATATAGGGTATCGTTGGAGAAAAACAAAAAATAATAAAAAACTTTTAATGGAAAAAACGGAAATCCAACAGTTGAGACGTAACTTTCTTCGAGATATTAAAAAATACCGAGAAGAGAAGCGTCCTATCATATACAAGAACGAAACCTACATTCATTCTTCTCATACTCACTCGAAAAGTTGGAGCGACAATTCCAATGAGAGATTACGTGCTCCGATTTCATACGGTCAGAGACTGATAATAGTACATGCAGGTGGTGAAAATGGGTTTGTGAAAAATGCTTATTTGAAATTTAAATCAAACACAAAAACAGGTGACTACCACAGTGAAATGAATTACGAAAATTATAAAAAATGGCTTCAGGAAATGCTTATTCCCAATCTTCCACCACGTAGTGTCCTGGTTGTTGACAATGCTTCTTATCACACCGTCTTCTGCCTTTTTCAGAAGATATGTTAAAAGTAGATCTTTACAGCATTGTACAAATCCATAAACCCAGATTTAAGGTGTATGAAATTGACAGAATACTGGGTAATAGTGGTCATTCGGTACTACGGCTGCCTCCGTATCATCCAGATCTCAACCCCATAGAATTAGTATGGGCAGCTCTTGAGAAATACGTGGCCGATAAAAACGTTGACTTTAAGTTTAGTTCTGTGGATCGTTTTTGCGATAAATTAGTCTCTCTACGACACTTTTGCAATCTGTAAATATAATACTTTTACTAGTTTAATACTGAAATCCATTGAATGCGTAAAACAGAACTTGACTTAAAATACTGCCTTGGGGGGGAGTCCAAGGTTCGTAGTTCTAGGTGTAGTCATTACTTGATTTATTTTTAAATGCATTTCGTTTGTGTACAGTAGTAGTATTTAGTTATAAAGTTCGCTAATTATTGTTTAAGAAATTCAATTGAAATTAATTTGTTCGTTAAAACATCTAGGTTAACATTATCAAATGCGCCTGTAATATCCTCGATACCTGCCATACTCGTGAGGTTACTATTAAATCCAGCTAAAGTATATGTTTTTGCTGTAGTAATTTTATTAATATTCCTTTATAGTAAATTTGTAACTAACATTGTAATTTTTTGGCTTTGAAATCTATCATTAAAACAACAATAACAGTAGTCATATTTTCACATTATTTATTAAAATTTATTGGTTATAATTACCTTCTTTTATGTTTACTTGTTTTTATTCTGTAAATAAAATTATTTACTTTATTTATAGTTTTATCTCATTATTATTGTTTCCTAGTTTTTGTAAACACATCTAAAATGTAAACCATTAAGGAGAAAAGCTAATAAATAAAAAATAAATATTTTACGTATTTTTTAAATAATACCTACCTTCCTGTATAACTTGATTACGATTAAAAAGACATTAATGGATTACGTCAAATTCAACAAAATATTTCCCATGTATTATATCCAAATGTTTCTTAGTATTTCAATTTTTGCATTAAAAAAATTTTTGAGGAAGACTGTACCTTATCACCAAACCGAGCGTTTACGTCTTCCCTCTTTTACTCTCCGAATGCGCGCTCTCTCAGATCTCTGCGCCGGCATCTAAGATTCTGAAACCTTTTCGTATATTTTCCAAATTATTAATTAAATATGTAGTTATAAATATTTTTTTTTACTCAGGATGTACTAATAAAGCAGGACATATTGTATGTACATAAATTAATTTTGGCCATTTTTTCATTTACGTTTCAAAGAAGAGATATGTCGTTTATGAAGGATAGAGCCCTACCACATTTTTTCTTGTTGGTGCGAAATTATTTGAGCAATCAGCAAGAAAAAGAATTGAAAATGGAGAAAGTTGGAGAAGTGTGGCAAAATCTATAGGAATGGAGGAAAGTACTTAAGAAAAATGCTAAAAAGAAGAACTTTAGCTACAAAGCTGGGAAGATACGACATTACTTTAACAGTAGAAATGGAAGAAAAGTTGTGCAACTATATAAAAACAATAGACATGTTTTAAATAAACATGTTTTATGGGTTAACTTCTAGAGTTTTGAGAAGTTTAGCATTTGAGTTCTCTGAAATAAATAAATTAGAATACCGTTTTGATAAAACTTCAAAAATGGCAGACAAGGTTGGGCTACGTGGATTTTTGTAACTACACAAAGATGTTAGTTTGAAGCAACCCACCGCTACTAGCTTCGCCAGGGCTACTGGGTTTAATGAACTACAGTGTAAGCGCTTTTTATGAAAATCTCTTTTATGAAATTCTCTTTTATGAAAACAGGTAATGACTACATATGAATTCCCGCCATATGCAATTTACAATATGAATGAATCGGGATTTTCCACTGTCCCAAACAGGCCTCCTAAAGTTTTCTCTACAAAAGGAAAAAGGTGTGTCAATAAAATATCTAGCGCAGAAGGGGGGGACCAACGTTACTGTTGTATGCACAATGAGTGCTAATGAACAATATATTCCTCCCGCACTTATATATCCACATAAAAGAATGAAGAGAGAACTTTTGGATAGAGCTCCACCATCATCAGTTAGAATGGTATCCGACCATCCAGAGTAGTTTCATAAATCAGGACCTGTTTGTTGATTATGCTACACATTTTAGAGATCACGTTAAGTCGACAAAGGAACAACCAGTCCTATTGATAATGGATAATCGTACTTCCCATTGTTCCATTGTAGCAATTAATTTTTTTTTTGACATTATAACTTTATCGCATTAACACTTCCTCCTCATAGTAGTCACCGTATACAGCCACTTGACAGATGTTTTTTAGTCCGCTAAAAAAGTTTTATTCCAATGAATGTAAAAAATGGCTGACGAACCATCCAGGGCGGGTAATTACTAGAGATGTGTAGTTCACCATCGAAATAGTGCAAAAGAACGATTCTTTCAACTGAACTAATCGAACTAGTTCATCAATTTTCATAGAACTAGTTCACTGCGAACTATTTGCATTATAAATGTGTCTCCATTTCTAAGGAAAAAAATAATGAATGAGACCATATATTTCGAATGGAACGGGTCAAATTACATAGTCCCTGATAGAAATAAGGGTGGTAGGAGCAGGCTTTTCCTTAAGAATTATAACTGCTTTCTTTTCATCTTCCCCTCTGCTTGTTCTACTAGCGAAACTGATTTTGACGTTGAAGGTTGAGGTTCTTGAAATTGATATGATTGATAGCAGAGTGTTTCATTCTTAAATGTCTTGATAAATTGCCTAGTGAACCACTTGTTATACTAATATCATATGAACAGTAATTACATTTTACAGATTTTTGATTTTTATCGTTTTTCTCTGATCCCATAAAAAACTTCTATTTCGTCTGTTACTCATCTTTTGGGATTGATTAAGAAAATAAATTATTATAAAGAAAAAATAACTAATCATATAATAATTTAAAACATTTGAACCTAAACATAATACGATCGAAAGAAATGGTTCCGAATCCGAACTACTTAAACGCCGTACACTGAAAACCGAAGAAAACGAGTTTGTGTGATGATTGAGATGAGACATCTGGCAACCAGTTATGTTAGGGTTGGATTTTGATTTCGGTCCTACAAATAGTTCTTTCGCGAACTAGTTCACTGAACTAGTTCATTTATGTGAAATAGTTCTCTTGAACTAGTTCGTCTAAAAGAACTAATAAGAACACCTCTAGTAATTACGGTTTATCAAGTTGCTTCAATATTTACTCCTGTATATTTTAAAGCTGCTACTATAACGAATGCAATTAAAGGTTTTAAAGTGACGTGGATATATCCCTTTAATAATGACATATTTACTGACGCTAACTTCATGGCCACTTTTGTCATAGAATGAGAAGAACCTGCTACAGCTGTAGTAACTACGGAACTAGAAGCGTTTAACGTACAATCAGGAGTCGCTAAAAACTCTACGTCTGAAATCGATATTCAACAATTCAACCACATTAAAAGTCTGAACCTGCCTCTGAAAATACTCCCAATATTCTTGACAGTCCAATTATTGTTTTTAAGAATTCCAATACTAAGGAAAATATTCATGTTAATGAAAGAGATGCCATAATCAGCGAAATGTCTACATCTGAACCCGATTGTACGAGAAGGATTTTACAGATCAAAAATAATACCCCTAAACTTATAGATCTGGTTTCCAACACATCTGCAATAACTTTGGAAGAAAAAGTTGATATATAGCTCCAGAAACAAAAATATTTGATTTATCAAACACTCCGGGAACATCATCAAGTTATATTAAATTAACAACCATTTCTCCGTTACCCAAACAAATTGTGGTTAGATCCAGAAATCCCAGAAGCAAAAAGTCAGAAATTATCACAAGCTCTCCATATAAGGACCAACCAATTGAAAAAAATGAGAAAAAAAGCCGCAATACACACTCAAACTGGATGTTGGCGATAACCTACCACCAGCGCAAGCGCTTCTGGGAGGGAGTTTAAAAAGGAAATCCGATGTGAACCTCAGACCGGTAGAGAAGATACAAAAAAATGAAAAAGCTGTTTTCACAAAGCCATAAACAATGCCTTATAAGAAAATTTAAAGCTGTCCAGGATGCAACGAAACATTTAAAGAACCTATCACAGAAGACTGGATTAAGTGCATATTATGTGCTGAATGGTAGCATGAAAAGTGCAGTGCCTACGCAAGTTTTGGATCTTATAAATGTGACCTGTTTATAAAATTAAGTGCGCTCTTTTGCTCAGTCGAAACATTAGTAATGTAAATAAGAACTTATTTTATAAACCAGATCTAATGTAAAATTTTTATTAATATAAGCATAAATATAATATTCTACCATTACAATGTTAAGTGACCACAAGGAAAGACATTTTCTTAGGCGCCGCTAATGATCGAATTCAA